TGTCTAAAAATCCAGCTTCAAATCTTGTTTTCCCTGTCTGCGAGGTACTTTGCATGAAATGCTTTTATGTTATGTTTGTTTTGTTGCCTAAGGAAGCCTGTGTCTGACTATCACAAGATTGCTTGGCCACAGTGTCGATTATCAACAGAAACGTGTCTTTCTTTTTTCTAAAAAATCACAATTCTGCCGCAAAGGTGAAGCAATGAACGCGATAGAAACAATTTGGAAGGCCACGCGCACAATGGCAAGCAGGTGGAACCGTCCCCCGCGTTTCTCACGCACAAATTACGCACCAAAAGTACTAACAAGTACAAATCAAAGCGAATAAGCGCCTCTGTTGTTACTTCGCCCTGTGTGAAAAGTGCGCCCTTTTCGCAAACGGATGATGTGCAACGATTGCAGTGACCTTTGCGCGCCCGGTAACTACAACATAATACGTAAGACGTACGACCTTCGCACTACAAGATAAGGGCGTGCGATTGAGCGTACATCCCCTTATTCTCGATGCGCGCAGAAGTACGCGTGAGAGATGAGAGCCCCCGCGCGCTCACAGTGCCATCTTTATGATAGTGCTGAAAACACGATAGTTCCCCCCGAAGATGACCGCCAACAGCGGTAAGTAGTAGATATAAATAGGTTGCCGTTATAACGCCTCGCATTCTCGACGCGGAGGTCCTATGTTCGATCCCGCGCGCTTGAGTCTTTTTCTGGATTTTTTCTTTCTTGCATTTTCCTATATATAGATACCTATACATATACGGTGCATGACATTGACGCCGGAGGCGAAATCCAGCCGAGAGTGTCCATATAACTGCTATCACAATAAAAGCGAAAATCGCGTTAGCTGCCATTAATAAAAAAAGCTTATTTTATGACTACACTGGGACCTGCTCCAACAATGTTTCGCCAGTGTATTCCTATACCATAAATATCTCAAATTTATATTGCGGCTTAATGTACATAGCCCACTATCAAGGATATCCAGGAGTGAAATTTGTGCTTGGCTCTTATCAATTTAAAAGTTCCATTTGCGATTCAATTATCCCGTAAAACAAGTTTGTAGTTCGAAATATAGTTCGCTACAGGAATATGCGTATTTAATGATGAGCTTAACACCGTCATCGTCAGACGTAATGGCGATGAGTAGACTTCAAGAGCGAGTGGTCCTTCTGGGCAAAAAGTGCCCGACTCTGGATTGCCTGCAGCGTTTTCTTTTTCTTGGCATGAAACGTGTTGCATCTGTTCTTTTTTACGCGCGTGTTTTATCGGCACCGTCAACTCGCCAGAGGGAACTACGTTGCTGGCATGAACCCATCCCAAGTTCGCTGATGTTGGTCGTTAGGGGCGTGCAGAGAACAGACGCGCATGCGCGTCCTTCGTGTAGCCCGGCCACCATCCATCCAATGATGCAGGGAGGGAGATGCACCTGTCACGAAGGAATCTCTTTAACTGATGTAATGTGGCTTGGTCGATGCGTAACATTATAGCCTGTGGTTATACACTGCCGATTGTGTAACTAGGCGTCAAACAACATGAGTATGCGGAACGAGTGGGTGGTGAGATGATTTTAACCCATTACAAAAGGACCAACCCTGAATGTTCATAGTCATCACCTACCGCACCAACAAATTGTACATAACGTCATAAATTGGCGTAGCGGGTACCTTGCCTCTCCGCAAAATCAAGAATGATCGTGTAGAGCGAAGTTCCCAACTTGACAAACGTTACTCGTTATGCTGAAAAAAGTGCCCTGGAAGCGTACCTGTGTTAGCAGTAGCAAGCGAGTTTACTACAGGTTCTAGAAAAGCCGCTATTGCAGTTTTTTATGTGACTGTGCTGCGGTTCGTGCCCAGGCTTTCCATGCATTATATTTCATTTATGCATTGTGATATCCAAACTCACACTCTTGTTACTCGCCAGAAAACAGCATGTTTGGTGTTTTGCTGCACCCCTCCGAGAAATATGAGAATGATAGCTGCACCGGATGGGCTCGACTGTAGCAACGACCTCACCGGACTACTAGACAAGGTACGTCAATCATAATCGTGTGGCATAACATACAACATGAGTGTGATCGTTTTACCTCACGCAAGCAATCGTCTTGCAATTACAAGAGCCTGCGCACAATAAAACGCAATGTCTTTAAATAAAGCGTGTTCAGAGGAGTCATGACACCCATTTTCGACCATAAACTGTGTTGTGTGTGTGGGTCTTTGTCAGGCTGGCGAAATTTTAGCGCATTTGGTCGTGCCAGTAGTTTATTAACAAATATTTCTATAAACGATCGACCGGCCTGGTGGTCGCGAAACACTAGCGTGCTCGCTAGTCGTGACGTAACGAACCAATTGCTCTAAGAGCTTCTGCATGGTGTGCATTACGGAGGGCGATCGTGTTTCACGGTCAGCTGCGCTTGCAGTCGAGTTGCTTCAGCGATATTCAATGAGCCATAAGAACAGAATGACTTGCATCAGTTGAAGCACTGTCACCGCGTCACCCATGCTGCGCTGTGGGGTGCCAGAGCGCAAAAAGCAGGGAGAGTACTCTCTCATTCTGCAACTTTCCTAAAGAGCCAGCCAAACGCAAGGCTTGAGAGATAAACGTGCGCAGGATTGATTGATTGATTTGTGGGGTTTAACGTCCCAAAACCACGATATGATTATGAGAGACGCCGTAGTGGAGGGCTCCGGAAATTTTGACCACCTGGGGTTCTTTACCGTGCACCCAAATCTGAGCACACGGGCCTACAACATTTCCGCCTCCATCGGAAATGCAGCCGCCGCAGCCGGGATTCGAACCCGCACCCTGCGGGTCAGCAGCCGAGTACCTTAGCCACTAGACCACCGCGGCGGGGCACGTGCGCAGGACAGACTGTTCTGTTTTTTTTTTTTGCGCTCAGTGCACTTCACGGCAGACAGCTACAATGATGACCAGCGTCTTCTCGGGGAGTTAGGTATACCTTTGCCGCAAGGATTCGGCCAAGATGCGTACCGTAAGGAACCCTAGCATCGTACTTATTACATGGCGTTCGCTTCAGGTAAAGTTTACGTGCATGCGGCACGTAGCAAAGGTGCAAAAGCAATGGTCCGTACGCGCAGCATTACCACCGCTTAAGTCGTGAATGCACGTATGCTAGCAAAAAAAAAAAAAGAATCTGCACGCTTTATGAATTCTATTGCGCAAAGTGTGCTCGTGAATGCAGCGTCTCCTATTCGTTAATCTCGCTTGTCAACCTGGCACGATTGAAATAAAGCTACTTACCATTGTGGAAGGCCATCTGCAACGTCTGCCACAACACCGAGGTCGTGGGCATCTGGGTTCGCGTCGTTTTCGGCGCTTTCTTCGTCACTCTAGCTGGTGGCGATGGGGTCGAAATCAAAATGCGCAGCGTACGAGACGTCGTCACCACTTCTGCTGCTCGATGAATCATTGCCCGAATCTTGAGTTGGTGACGGTGCGACGACATGGTGATGGTACCGGTATCACTTCGCAACACTTGCTACACGTGGACCACGCGGCAAGCAACACGTGCAACACAGTGAACAACACACTTACCGCGTGCTGAAGCTGCCGTTTGGTAGCAGACGACGGCACTGCTCCCATCAGTTTGTGACTTCACACAAGCCACGGCAAAATGGCAGTCATTGGTGGTGGGCGCCGTTTACACCCGAAGACTTCTGCTGCTTACTTTGGACTGAAACAATCTTTCAAAGACCAGTTTTCAGACGTGCACAAGAATATTCAACCCTCTATTTTCTTTTTTTTGCCGAAAACCACAAATTGTTAGGTGACCATGTCGTGACCCCTTTAAACAGTGTAAAACAGATGTGCTGTGAAACAATAAAGCACAGCGTCTTCGTATATATAAACCAAGCATTATATATTGTTTATTAGTTGACCTTTCACACTTTACCCGACGATGCAATGTTGCCGCCCTGCTTAATTTAATGATCACCAAGAATATTCAAAGTAAATACCTGAACAAATCACTACATGTCGGTTTCTTTTCACGTAGAACCAAGTGGTAATAAGACACAAGGGTGACCTTTCATGCTTCCTTGGAGCAGAAAAAAGAAGTACTTTTTACACACTCGTTACTATAAACAATAAATAAATGTGAGTGATATACGTGCAGCAAGAAAAGTAAGAAAAAATGAAAGTTCGTAGATAAAAATTTGATTATTTTTTTCAAGAATGGAAGCTCGGCTTATACAGGGCAATAAATCAAGATATTCATCGCTTGAACGCAGACTACATTGACATCTGCTTGGAAAGTAAGAACAGGCTCGCCCGTAAGTTGTTTACCTGGCGGGCTTGATAGCGAGAATGAGCAAGTTCTGATAGCAACCTTGTTTTTGCAGACCGGACTAATTACTATAATCATGCCAGGTAATATTGCTAAGTAAGTCTGTCATGTTTACGCTCAGTATCAGGAAAACCTATTTTTTAGGATCATGCAAAAGGCATGCAAGAGCTCCTTACAAAGTTTGCGGCCAGTTTAATCACGAAAACACGGTACATTGAATCACAGGCCCGTCGCTGCTCATACTCCCCGTTGACCAACGCATCTCGCTTCAAGATTCACGGCTTCCTCCACGGGAGTAGGCACCTTCTTCAAACGCCCCATGACTCTGGACAGAATTAGGTGCAGCCAGGCTATGCTCTACAAAGTGGAAGTTGCGCACGGTGTCTGTCGGTGACACCGATCAGCTACTGTGGTTGAACGGCTTGGGCAGGTGGCGCGGTAATTTATCTGATTAGTTAGTTCCTCAATCTGGCCGCTAAATGACGTGACACTTGCTTCCTCTTCCTTTCGTTTCCCTGCTCTGTCTCTCCATCTATTTGTTTCTACATTTCTTTCTCTCTATTTCTTTTTTTCTCATATGTTTTGGCCTGTGTTTCACTTATTTACTTCCTCTTCACCCGCACATCTCACGCTCACTACCCTTTCTGATCCCCTTGATACACTACGCTATACAAGACTAAGTTATGTTTCGCTAGCATACATCGACTGTCGATTCACCAATCTGCGTGTCATTCTTGCGTGGGGCCATGCTAATCTTCTCTTTATCGTTCCACATTTAGTATATGTACTTTCACAGTGACCACTTTTACTGTGCAGCACGGTGTAAAGAACTATTCCTGAAATATAGGATTTTAAGTTAACCTTCAAGCTTCTTTGTGAACAGTGCTTGTACGTTTAAACTGTAACTGCATGATACTTTGCACGTTATTTTTTGCGTATGCACTCAATGCAATATCATTTCAAAAAGGAGGTTCGTGACTAGTCGAGTGGTTTGAATGCTCTTTTGCGCATCAGAGTACCAAAGCTGCAGGCACCTCGAGAATAATTGTTTTTCCGGAAAACTTTTTTATCTTTTTCAGGATATGTTTCTGTCCGTGCCTCTATTGGTTTCTTTCTATATTTTTATTTCTTTATCTACACTCGTTATGAGCGTCATTGCAGGCTATGCCGTGGCAGCCAAAGTGGGATCTGCCGAAATTTTGAGCGCAAGTCGTTATTGATGATGATGCTTTCTGCATCATCATATTTTATGCCATTATTAGGCCCATGTGCTCAGATTTGGGTGCACGTCAAAGAACCCCAGGTGGTCGATATTTCCGGAGTCTTCCACTACGGGCTCCCTCATAATCAAATGGTGGTTTTGGGATGTTATTTCCACATAGCTATTAGCATTTTATGCCATGCTCCTGCAGCTTTGCTGTTAAAACACTGATATGAAGGTAATGCAACATAATAACATTAGCCTAATTGACTTGCCTAGCTTGTCATAGGTGAACATTTGGTATAAGTCTGCCAGGCTAGAACAGAAACTGAAGGAATGATAAAACTACAGCCTAGAAATATTAGTGAAACCCAACATAATAAAGTTTAATCTTCAACAGGCCGACTGCTGCTTTTGTCAACGTCATCACCACGTGACAGTATTACGACTTAGTCGCGGTCTGCACTGTCTCTCATTAACAAAAGCGAAAACATCTCCAGGTCATGACTTTTTGGGAGGGTATCTACAATTTATTATCTTCGTGACTGGTATAAAAATTATAGATTGAAAATTCTATTTATATTTTCCATTTCAGAGATGCTTAAACGGTATGTGCAAGCAGCTCAGGTGATGTTTCTTTGTGGAATACAAGAATCGCTATTTCCTCAGAAGCTCATAAAAACTTGATACTCTTTACAAAGAGCAAACGTCGTGAACACCGCAATAAAATTTTACTGGTTAATAGCGTATTAATAAAACATTATGCATGCTCTAATCAAGCGGTATTTTGCGTATCCCATCGCAATATTGCCAAAAATTGTTTTCCTCTAACATTTTATCTCCACTATGACATGACCAGACCTCCTGATATTTCTCTCTTCTCTACGAACCATTCTGACGAAATAAACTACAAAACACCTATCATGCCTCCTTGTGAACTTCCATTCCTAAACAGCACGGACAGCAGAAGATAAGTGTAGAGTGAAAAACACGCAAACTTCTTGGGGTCATTAGCAAAAAAATTTGGCTTCTCCTTGTAAATAAAAACCACTCAGGTCTACGAAATGAATCATCACGAGTAGTGAAGCTCTTGGCAGCTTATGGATGAGTAACCGTACCTTTTCCGAGCGTTGCCCCATATATTATAAATGAGTGACATAAATCGACAAAGAGTCGACAACAGATCTAGGTCCTAATTTCCATATTCTGTACGTTAAAGTCGCCGACTTGTAGTAAAAGTTTGTGCTTCTACGTTTTTTCCGTTGTTCCATCATAATTATAATTCATATTAATATACTGTGAAATCTTTTTTGTCTCAGATTACCATGTGTTACCCGGTAGGCAAGCCAACGCTGCCTGCACCAGCGTTGCGAGGTGAGAGATAGGGAGGGGCTACGTATGCGCAATAGGGGTGTAAACACCGCGGCGATGGATGCCTAGAGGGGAGAGTAACTGTACCTTCTTCTAGCGTTACTAAATATAATATAAATGAGCGACATAAATTGACAAAGAGTCGACGACAGATATAGATCCTAAGGTCCATAATCTGTACGTTGAAGTCACCGACTTTTAGGAAAAGTTTGTGCTTCTACGTACGTTATGTTGTTCCATCATAATTATAATTCATATTAGTATACTGTGAGATCTTTTTCTCTCCGATCACCATACGTTACCCGGTAGGCTAACCAACGCTGCCTGCACCGGCGTCGCCAGGTGAGAGATAGGGAGGGGCTACGTATGCGCAATGGGGCTGTAAACACCGCGGGAATGGATGCCTAGAGGAGAGAGTAACCGTACCTTCTTCGAGCGTTACCCCATATAATATAAATGAGTGACATAAATTGACAAAGATTCGATGACAGATATAGGTCCTAAGGTCCATAATCTGTACGTTGAAGTCGCCGCCTTGTAGGGGACGAGTATATGAAGTCACAGTGAAAGTTATGGTGCCATACAGTAAAAAAATCACAGCATATCCATGTAGTGAATGCTGATGAGTAGGGCGATGATGTTGTGGCCGTCAAGTTATACGTCGAGGTCGCTTGTTCGTCGTTGTGCGTTGCGGTTTGGTCGCAGCGTCAGGTCACGGCTACGTTGGTTTGCTCCTCTGCTTCCACGTGGCGTCGTCAGGTCTCCTTCTGGTCGGGAAGTTTCTACCTCAGGGTTCTGACCGGCTTTCGGTGTGTTATTGTTTAGTCCTGTCGTCGTCGTCAGCGGCGGCGAAGGGTCCTCGGTGCTTCATCGATCAGCAACCGCACTTCCATCGGTGGCTGCCCTTAGTTTTCCGAATATGGGCTCACGGAACGGCCCCTGTTCGGGCTGCTGTACTGCTGTCGTCAGTGAGGGGGCCTGTAAGGTCCGGGTGATGGCAAACGGGAGGAACGTCAAGGTGCCCGTTCTGTGGTGGTCAGGTAGTCAGCGATGTCGCGTGGTCGCTCGCTGCGCTGCGGGGGCGGTGCGTTGATGGCAAAGCCGCGTAGGTCCATTCGGTGGTACTGGCAGCGTCGGTATGTGTGGCAAGCTTCTCCGCAGTGGTAACAGAGTGGTTGGTTGTAAGGAGCGCGCCAAACGTCGGTCCTCCTCGGTGCGTAGCGCTGGGAGGCAGGTGGGTGGTATGTCGTCGGTGGTGGTGGTGGTGGTGTATGGCGACAAAATGCGACGGTGCGGCCTGTTAACGTGGACGTTAGAGCAGCAGCGTAGCTCGTGCCTTGGGGCTGCGCTGTGCTGACTCAGGTATGCCCAGCGATTGCTTAATTTCCGCTCTGATGACGCCTACGATTGACGAAACTTGAAGCTAGCCCGACGGGAACATTCGGTGAAGTTCTTCACGCACTACGGGTCTAATGGTTTCACATAGGTTGTCGGAGCAGATTGGTCGGATCTCTGCACAGACTGGCATCGAACGTCGGTTGAATTGACGTGTGCGCATTTCAAGGGTCTTCTCGATAGTCGTCACTTCTGAAACAACTTCTTGAACGCTGTTCAGAGGGTTCCACATCAGTCCTGCAAAAAGCTCCTGCTTAACTCCTCGCATGAGGGAGAAGGCTGGCTTTCTTGTCCAAGGGCATTTCAGGGTCGGCGTGACGGAAGAGTTTGGTCATCTCTTCCGTGAAGAACGCCTCGTTCTTCTTTAGCAGCTGCATGTCTGTTTGAATGAGGGCTTTAGCCGCCTCTTTGCGGACGGCACTAAAAAAACTGGCAATGAACGTGACTCGAAAAATGTCCCACGTTGTCAGGTTTCCCTCTTGATTGTGGAACGATGTCCGAGCAGCGTCTTCTAAAGCGAAATGGACGTGCCGAAGCTTGTCGCCCTCAGTCTAGGTGTTGAAGACGGCGACTCAGTCAAACCTCTCAAGCTAGCTTTCCGGTTCTTCGAGTGCTGAACCACGGAAAGTTGGCGGCTCCTTGAGTTGCCGGAGCAGGAGCCATGCAGATGGCACAGGTGCTGTCATTGTCGCCATGGTCGCCGTGGTCGCCGGGAAAAACTTGGTCTTCGGCATCTTGTCAGGTAAAAGCCCATACTCTGGTGCCAGGCCTTGTTACCTACGGCTAACTCGCCTCTTGTGGCTGGCATCCGGGTATTCTCGGCAGCTTGGGCAGGGTTCACGGCTTGAAGGAGGCGTTCAGTACATGAAAGCAGCACCTCCACCAGATGTAACGAAGTCGTGACATCGACGAGTGAATCATAAGGTGGGTCAACTAATAAACTGTTAATTTGGATGACCCTGTGCCCGGTAAACAGAAAGTTTTGCGCTGATAGCGGCGAATGAAGCGTCGTCCGATGATGAACTGACAAGCGTCGAAGCGCGTCGGCATTTATACACTTGTCATTGAATGTTCTAGCGTTATCGCTAGCGGCGACATAGGTTTCCAAATAATCTGAAATGTTCGCGAAGTGGGCGTAATCTTAACAAAACGATCTACTACAGCCTCGAAGCTTTTCGAACATCATAGGCGCGATTTGCGCTGAACGTAGTGTAACGGGATGATAACAAAGCTCGAGGAAAAGAATGTAGCTATATTCACATATCGTCTTTACCCATACAACAGAATGTGGAGTTAGGAAAACATGTAGAGTTACTAGGTTATGTGACCCTCAAACAATACCAGAGACATTAGATCACATCACAAAGGCTTCTGTTGCAGTGTCTTTTCATACAGCATTTGACGGTGGTATCATGTCGTAGCTTGATGTTACGCGTGGTTGTTATTTTATGTTTATCTATGCAGGGCTCAAGCCATCACGCTCAAGCTGCTTCATATGAAGTTATATCCCCCTAGAGGTTTACTAAACCGGCATAACCGAAATATCGACCCACATCGCCCAGATTACGTAGAGGCATTTAGCATTATAGTGCATTTGCTCTGCAGTGCCCTGCGTTACGGAACACGTCACACACCACACAACGGTACTGGTAAGACGCCATCACAGGCAGCGCAATGAATATCCAGTCAACGGCCGTCCAGAGACCCCGGGAAACCGCAAGGCATGACCTCCCGATGCTGATGTAGCAGCAGCCAGTGGTGGCAAAGTATCCAGGCGGGTCCGTCCAGGCTAGTCACATAGGACTCCATTAAAGTTACTTGTCTTTCTGTCTCCTT